ATGCAAGATATATGAGAAAAGCAAATATGTCACACCTGAATAGAGTTCACGAATATGATGCAGCATTTGTTAACACACTTACAGCATTCAGTGCATTGACACCACGTCAAAGTGGCTTGCCATGATTCATTACCACAATTATAATTATTTGCGAAAATGCAGGCTTAACTGAGATGTTCGCCCTTATTCATTGCAGATACAAGACAAGACATGCATAGACACAGGTTCGTTAGATGTGAATGAAAAGCAATATTCTCCTTTTTTTATTTTCATATGAATGCGTGCACTCATCTATGTCTGCTGTTTTCTCCTTGTTTTCGACGAGTTTCAATACTATCGCCACCTACTGACAAGACAGACACAAGCTGAAAGGGTACGTGTATGTGAAGACCTTGGGACAGAGCCGCTAGACTCAATGCCACAGGCAGAGGGGCAGAATTGCGTAGAAAATCTGAAATTAAGGTTCACTGCAATTTTTATCCCACAGTTTTAGAAGTGTTCCTCTGTACTGCTTTCATTGGGCTTTTTTGGGCAAGAAATTTGGCAGCAGAATTACAGCTTAGTGCCCTTATGAGACAATGTGACATGTGTTGCCCCACTTATTCAAAGATGCTTCATGGGTCGATTAGCCACATGCGTCCCACTTTTTTCTCATAAATTGATGGCCATAATTTAGTGAAGATTGTGTCACACTATTTTTAGGCATGAAGTTCTGCAAATTTCTGTTATTATGTGAAAAATATCGATGAATTCACGAAGGGTAAGTTAAATTGCATAATAAGAAAAATTGAAAGTGAGAATGCAATATATATACTATATAATTTTAAGCCAGATTAACGATTGTCTGAGCTGCAGCAGGCAACGTGCAGAAATTCTCCAGAACTCGATACTCAGCTTTTGCCACGAAGCAGTGTAATGGCACAGCTGCTGTGATTTCCAAACACCATATTAAAATACATATACAACTCAAATTACTCAAGGGAAAGGGAGCTTGACATTATCATACTTCTGCATGTTTCCAAATAAAGATCTATTTACACTTCCTGGCCAGTTAATTGCTGTACCCCTAAACAGACATAAAAGTGAAAACCATGGCATTTGGTAGTCTAACAATGGACCTAGGGATTTCAACATCACACCAATGTGATTTGGCATAAGATGTAAAAGCTTATTCAATCAGTCATACATTGTTACCCTTTTATGCCAGTTTTAACGCGATTGTTTTAAAAATCTCGTGGGCATCGTTGATTGTGAGTGATGAACCTTGTGAGCAACCGGAAAAATCAAGAAAGATGCAAATAAAATAAGTAATAAAAATTTTCCCAGTTTGCGGGAGGATCAAGCCCAGGCCGTTTGCATGACAAGCAGGCGTTCTACCGCAAAGCCACACATCTGCTTGGAAATTAAGGAAAATAACTTTATCTGTTTGAAAATGCAGTGAAAATAATGTTAGGCTTTGCAAACACATGTGTTCTGTATACTGCCTTCACAATTCAATATGTAATATCACAGTAATATTTCTTGATACAAGTGTGCATTGTAATCAGGCATCAGAACATGTGATTATCTTAAGGACTTCATAGTTAAAAGGTGGCCAGCCATAACAAAACGCACACATTTTGCTGCACACATTTCCTTCAGACCACATAGTGAGTGCATACCAAGTTCGAAAATATTTCATGCACCAAGTGCTTGAAGTACGCACTAGGGCCAGGGTATCATTATCGTGTTCAATTCTTGAAAGCGAACCTTAAGGGTCGCCCAATTTTTCTTTTTTAAGTGGTGGAAATGAAGCATTATTCTAACCATGGATATTTTTATGCCAGCAATTAGACTAGTAGGTTAGCTCAGTGAGCCATTTTTGCGTTTATATCAGGTTTATTTGACTCAAGGAAAGCAATATTATTTTCAAATGGCACTGTATGCCAAAGACCTGACATGGTGTCTATTGTTGGACATTAATCTTCAGGTATCCTCGGCCCTCCCTCTTTCTCTCGTTGAAGGGCCTGTTTTTTGTTTAAGAAAAGGTGGCAACCCTGGTGGCCGCAAAGTGTGAAAACAGTATAAAAATATTGAGGCAGGTTGTTGAGACAACAATCTACAGACAGTGAGTGGCATACAGAATTGACTTGGCTGTCTTTAATGTGTGTGTGTGGGGGGGGGGGCATAAAAAAAGCTGCTACAGGGCCAAAACAGATGCCTTAATTGCAGTGGCAACTATGCAAAGGGGCAGCTGGAAAGTCTACTTAAATCTTCCGAACATGAGCGTCTTGAATTCGCTGTAGTTTTATCTCGAACAAATTGGGACTTGAAAAAAAAAGAAAACCTAGTCCTCATATATTTGAAACAGGCACATATTGCAAGAAGGCTGTTGATAAACCAGGAAAAAGTTTAGCCATGCCTTCATTGTTGTCAATTGTGAGCACACAATACATACAACAGCGATACTTTTGGGAAGCACACCTTGGTGTGACCGAGGTTAGGGGCACAGGCTTTCACCCATGTGCCGGGGAAGAAGACACCTTTGAGAGGCTTCTTGACGACAGAAACACACGATTTATTTACATATTTACAGGTGTAAAAAACACAAGGCGTCGAGATGCGCTTTTAAAGGAGACAGGACTGGCCGTAACGAAGGCCACAGAGAGAGCCCTGAGTGCACACGCGACGCGCTTTTCATATCCTCGGTCCGTGCATGCGCCTCTCCTCAAACACGAACTGTCTGTCCCAGCAACGCTGATGCGTGTTCCCTGCAGCACACCCAGACACCTCTTGCGTTTCTGCTGGACGTGTACCACATTTGGCTGGTACGCCAATGAGCGTCTATTGCAGTCTTGGTCCTTGCACTGCCAGTCATAACATTTGAATGGATACTGGCAAGCTAACTGGCACCTCCGAACCTGTGCCACTTTAGAAGACGGGTCCCACCTGCAATGAACCACTTCTTAGCAGCAGAAGAAAAGAAAACAAGAATACTTCTTGTTTTTTTTTTTTTTTGCTTACCCGAGGCAATACTTGAACCAGTGAATTGAAAGCTGAGCACAATAACTCTTCAGCTATTTATGCATGGTGACAGAAGAAATCATAGCCTTAAATAGTAAATAGTATAGGGGGTGGGAAAGGCAAGGGAGGATGCAAAGGAGAGAGTGAAAAAGAAAATGGGAGAACCATTAGAAAGAGGAGAAAGATAAAAAAACAAGGGGAGAAACTAATTGCGTAGAGAGAGCAAAAAATACAAATATATTTACTAAAAAAAGCAGGGTTGTGCAAATATTCAAATGCTTCGAATATTTGAAGGAACAGTACTGTATTCAAACTCGCTTCAACTCGATTTTGAAATTATTAAAAATTTTGAAGTATTTGCAATGAACAAATAGTTAACATTGATCTGCACATAACCTCCTGTGAAGGTGATTTCACTAAAGCAGAGAGTGCTATGCTGTGAAAGCACCTATCCAAGAGAATTCGCACTGCCGCAAAACCTCTTCAAAGTTAAAGGGGCACTGCAACTCTTATTGAATATGGTCGTAAAATGCGGCCAATCAGTAGTCAAGATTCCCGAAAACAGGTGAGCCAAATATTGTTGTGCAGCACAAGGCCACAATTTCTCAATAAATGTTCAAATTCACCTGAAAATTGCTTTCCTTTCACTCGACAAATTTCGCTACAAGCTCAAAAATTACCCATTACAGCCATTGTTATCAGCGGTTGGCTGATTCGAGCATGGCACGTTGGACGTTAATGGGGCCAGGCTCACTTGGACTATGATCGAGTCGGGAGTTTGAGTGAGTACAGCTGAGTAATATTACATGAGTTTGAGTTAGAGTGAGTGTGGCTAAGGAAAATTTTAATGAGCTTGAATCCGAGTGAGGAAAATATTTGCAAGTCTGAGGTGGTGAGCCCTAAGCTCAACGTGTATTTCTTGGGTGAGCCTTAGTGAGCACCACATTTTATTTCTGACCTATGTTCCTATATACCCGCCTATCAGCGTAACTATCGACGTCATATTTGCTTACATTGCTAATCAAGTCTGTTCAAGCATACATCAACACACAACCGTTCATGCGGTTATTGCACAGAGGTGCAAGTTAGGAGATAAGGGGGTCGCCAAGACCTCCCTTCACAAACTCGCTCATGGGACATTCATGGCAAAAATTTCTGATGTGAGCTGCATATTTCATAAAAATATTTTTATTGGATTGCGACTAGTGACAGCTGTTCGCTCACTCAGACACAGGTCAAATCGCGAGTCTGAGCGTGCCGAACTGAGTAATATGTTGGTAAGTTTGAGCCTGAGTGAGAGTGGTTGACAAACAGTTTAGCGAGTCCCAATTAGTTCTGTTGAGCTAAATTTAAGTGAATTTGAGTCCAAGTGAGTTTCCATGATGAAATGTATTTCTTGAGTGAGTTTAAATAGGTTCCACGTTTTCTACCGGCCTATGGCTGCTGCTCTCAAACATCAACACTTAATCCTTGGGCAGTATTGAAGCAGCTGCAGCCATTCAGCCCTCATGTCTGCGATGCAGGATCGTTTTACTGAGGCAGGGTCTCGTTTCAGGAAAGGATGAGCCAGTTTTTCACACACAAATGTCAAACATTTAAAATTAAAGTAATTTTAAATAAAAGCAAAACAATCACACTGAAACTGTACCCATTACCAAACTACTAAGACAAGCATAGCTTTGTAATTAAATGAAGTTCTGCTGAACATTTGAAACAAAAACAGTCCCTAGTAGTTTTAATGCTGGTGTCATCCACAGTGGCAGACTCATTCTTTGCAGGTGTATTTGTTGGCTGAAGCAGATGAGAAGCCTAATTCACCCATAAGTCATGGGCAGAAGTGCTTCAGTCACAGTGTGAAAACAATCTAAAATTTGAGCAGAAAGATCAGAACATCTGATAGATAGAGCTGCAAGAGACAGGATGTCCCTTGCAGCTTCTGTTTCTTCTTTCTTTGTCTAGTTGTATTGCTGTTTATAGCAAGTTCACAACGTATTAACAAGCCTGCATTAACACTTTATATCAGACAGATCTACCCATGCATGCACCATGGTGGCTGGTCACTGCACCATCGTGGCTGGTGACCAGAAGCAGGAACCCGCTCGCCAACCTAGACGGCTGAGTCAGCCTCCCAAAGGCAGGTCAGGACCAGGACATGATGGCTGGCAGCAGGTCCTTGTTATGGTCTCGTGAATGGTAACCAACATGAGCACTGCACTGATGTTACGCGCACATCACAATATCTAAGTACATGCACTGACACAAATTTGAGTGATGTGTAAAAATCACTGGCTGCTAACAGCAGCAAAAATATGGTTGTCACTAATATAAACCATGTCTATATGCCTGTTGGTCCGCGGGCATAACTGCCTGTACCATGATATGAAGCAGCTTTGTGCAACTTCACATCATGGAACGTTTCTCTATCCGCCACCCGAAAACGCGCTCTGTAGCGGTCAGGCTCCGCCCAGAGACTTAGACAATATGAAACTAATACAGGCCATGCTGAACTGCTGCCTCAAACTTCAGCCAGTCTAATGGAATCAAACTTTGCCATAGCAAGCATTTAGGCTTTTACGAGAAATGATGCTGTTTTCTAGGGAATGTTCAGAATATGAACTATTTTTAATGCATTAGGAACATCTTACACTGTAATACAATCACATAAAATTTATTAACAGTTGGAAAAGTAAATTTTCACCAGCTGCCCGCATTAGCTTTCATTTTGCCGAAGTATGTGTTTCCACATAGCACAGCTTAGAAAATGAAGTCAGGCATTCAATCACAAAGGAACGAATTTTCTTCATCTGAAAGGGACGCTAAAGGCAAAAAATTTCTCTTGTTCGAATGATAAGTGAAAGTTTAAGAATGCCTAAACGTCAGTATTATCTACAGGGCTTAGTTCACCAAGAAAGAAGTAAATGTATGATAAGGCTCCAGTCACCCATGCCATATTCTGCGAACTCTGTAACTCTATAAAATGACGTAGTCGAGTCCCAGATAAAGTAATTACTGAAACTGTCCACAGTAGAAAAGACGATTTCAGCACATTAAAATCTGGTATGAAATGCTTATTTTTTTATAAGTAAGGTTTAACGTCTCAAAACCAGCATATGATTATGAGAGACGCCGTAGTGGGGAGCTCCGGAAATTTCTACCCCCTAGGGTTCTTTAACGTGCGCCCAAATCTGGTATCAAAGCTGCTTGGTTCTTTCTATTTCTTTCTTTGAACTAACAGCCGCCGACAAGACTCATGGCTAGCTTCAATCATCTTCCAAAAACGTGGGGGGGGGGTGGGGCAGTGAAAGTTCTCTCAAATTACCTAGCTGTGCCACAGAAGCTTCTCCGAAGCTACTGACCGGTGTCTGATCATAATAGCAAAACTTTCCTTCTACCACGCCTGCTACTACTGTATTTCATGCCACCTAAGGGACAAAACGTCAAGAAGACCTATTTGGAAAGTTGTTTAAATACCAGGTGTAGCATGCTGACCACTTAATATATAACTTCTTTTTAAACAAGGCATTTTCTTAGCACGGAACAAACAGTGCACCACAAACAGTGTACCAACAGTATGCCTTTAGGGCCCCTTTAAAAGGTTTCATACATTTATATACTTAAACATCTAAAAAGGTTGCAACATGCTAGGATGCTCATGGTCCCTAAAATATACCGCAAAAATAATAACTTTCTGGCCTGCGTTATTTACAAAGTTCATTTTACTGACCGATAGGCATCAAAATTTATTAACTTTTCCTCAGACCACCTAGTTTTTAAAAGCAAGGTGCATATAGTATAATGGTTTGCATTATTTTCTGGATAAATAACGCCTGTAAAAAGTTATCTCACTGGATAACACGGACTAAAGAATGTCATTTTAAAATTCTTTGTGGGGCAGAAAAACTAAGAATGCTAATGATGATGACCGAGTATATTAATAACCTAGAGTTGGAATCTATAGAAAGGTCTCAAATCAGCAGCTATAGAACTATATGGTTTCAGTTTAAGGCTGATTTTTTTAATAGTTTAAACATGTAATATTACTTTGGAACAAAAAAGCAACTTGACTTTGGTTTTGCCCTGGGCACTTGCATTGTAGCAATAGGGAAATGCACCATCTCATTGTCTGCAAGACATTATATTAAATGCCTGTGCATTAAGGTCTTATCAAAAGCAACGGTGCACAGGTCAACGCCAGATGCAATGGTGAATGCATTAGCAATGGCAAAAACGCCACAGTCATAACAGTTCTCTTGACGCTGTACTGCCTTAGTGTGAATGGTGAGAGTATTAGAAGCTAGACTAATTATGTTCATAACTTGAGTTGCTACACTTGGCATAATGTCCTGGTCTAACAAATCATACAGAAAAACACTGTTTGTAGGGGCACCATAATTTGTCACTGTAACCCAATGCCCAGGAATATGCAGAATTTGAATAAAGGTGTCTCGCTTCTCAAATGTCAAGCTCTCCCCAAGAAGAACATCCTGATAATTGCACAGACCAGGAAACTGACGCGAAATAATAAATTGCGCTGCATTTACGATTGCATCTGACAGCCATCCCTTGCCTCGTAAGGCCACTAAATCAGAGGAACTTATTTTGTACGGTTTGCAATTATTTGGACCACAAATCGCGTCAGCTATGGGGTCACTAATTTCTTCCACTGTTCTACCAACGACTTTCACGGGTACCTTCTCTTTAAATTGAGAGTTTTTCAAAACATGCAAACGTAGTATTTTTTCTCCCCGCTTCGTATCATGTGCACATCTCTTACGTGGTCGGCCGCGAGCGGATTTAACTAGAGGTATGCTAAGCGCTGTCAGTTGCTGTGCAAAATCACTAGGCGAAGAGCTAGTGTCCGATGTCTTTGCTAGAACCTGACATACCTTATCATCATGCGAGGCTATAGTAAAGTTAATTTCATCTTTTGAATCAGATTTAACTTGACCAGATTGCACTTTCAGTTCCGCTTTATCTTCTGTGGAGCCCTTCTTCATAGTGTCATCATCTACAGACTTGGCCAATAGATAGTCGTTCAGGTCTACACTCAACGAATTACTTCTTTTGACTTTTCTAAGCCTTTTCCTTCCCTACTAACTTGTTCATTACTTTGTGCTATTTTAGGAAGGCGTGAATCATGTTTATTATTTCTAGGGTAAGGAACAAGATTTTGGAAAAAGTCCTCACACTTGCTCAATTTTTCGCAAAGTTCAGTTGCGCTACATTGGGCTAGTACATTAGCAGCTTCCTTTGAAAGTTCAACAGACGTGCATATGCATATATATATCTGGCCTCTGAGTTATCAAGTTTTGGCTGTACTTTTTTTACCATGCTTGTGGTTAAAATGCTTAGTTTGTCTGGTGACACTGTCTGGTCGGTCTGCACAAAATCAGATTTAAGCCAGCGCTTTGACACACAACTTTCATCAAACAGTTCCATATTATTTTTTGATCTAGCTGCAAGAATGTGCCTGCAGGGCAGCTGGTACTGCCCTGCATGTCCTCATATTATTAGTAACTGTATGTCCTCATATTATTATGAGGACATGCAGTTACTGCATATTTCATGCATGTCCTCATATTATTAGTAACTTCATAAAGCTTACTGCAAACAAAAACGGTGCATTTGCCATCAGAGACAACACAGTCTTCTGGATATTTCATAAACAGCCCATATTCTTTACATACCAATTTTCTAGCATATTCGGTGCATTTTGCTGACACCTCAATGCAAAACTTATCAGTCTTACTGGTGTCAATGCAAGTTCTCATTTCTTTATATTGCATATGGCTGAGTGCTAGAGCATCGTGGGTCACATACCTTATCAGAGCTTTCACTGCTTCCACTAAGTGCATGTCCCGTGTTAGATAATTTTTTTAACTTTTGATTATGGCTTTCCATTCGATTGTTAGTATTATTTCCTAAACTACACGCATTTGCACGATAAGCATGAACCCACATGATCTTGCAGCTGTGCCAATTTTCGTAAAAGTACTGCAGAAGGGCTTTGTCATTTTCAAGTGCTTTTTCCAAGTCCTGCAAGTGCCTTTGATATATATCTACGGTATGTGCAAAAACCAATTTCGTAATTATATCTTTAACATACTTCTTATCTAGACTATTTGACTTATGCTGCATCACTTTCGTGTGTAAGTACTTTAACACATGCCACGAACACAACAAGATTCTACATTTGGCCAGAAGCTGCTGAATTATATTCATTTCATTTAAATCTTTGTCCATTACCACAATTTTGCACTTCTCCTCTACGACAGGATTCAAACAAAGGAATGTCTCTAGGAAAGACTTTAATATTTCTGATGTCTCCCGCTGAACAAATGCATAACATACAGGCCTCCCATGACTTGTTCCATCTTCGCACAGAATTGAATGCAAGATATACCCTTCTTTATTAACTTTATACGTACTATCAAAGAACAACTCTTCAGGGTATTTTTCTAGTAACTGGGCCATATGCTCTGATTGAAGCAATATGTACAAGAGACCATTTTCTGTATTCTTTTCAATATGAACCTTCCACCCAGAGTTTTCTGAAAACAATTTGTTGATTTTTTCTAACAGAAGGGCTTCATGATGAGCATTGTCCTGAATTTTTTGAACTGTTCTATTCTTTATGTTTATAATATCACGAGAAGTAACGTGTTTTCCCGTTTTCCTCAGAATGGCATCCTTTAGTTCTTTAGGTTCACATTACAAGAAATCAACTCTTGAAGTTGATTTTTTTCAGAAGCACTGAATGCTCGATTATTATTGTACCATAAAAAATCTCGGCACCTATTTTATGGTTGTGCACATCCGCTAAATTTACAACTTCATAATAGGGCTGTAGAGAAACCCGCAGCGAAAGCTTAAGTTCAGTGTTGCAACCTGTACCGTTGAAGCGTTGATTGGGTCGAATATTTTGTCCCCTCGGATTTGGATGCCCTGCGTGGCAACAGACAAATTTAACTCGAACATAAGGAAAGTCTGCTTTGTTTAAATCTTTCTCAGTACACAATGGGTTTTTATCTGATTTTTCAATACGCATCGGATGGAACCCTTCACTTTTCCATCCTTCAAAGCTAGCTTTAAACTCCTTATAAGTGCTGAATGTGCTCCCTACCGAAATATTGCCTCCACCTGTGCAAATATGGCTGTGTGACAATTTTGCTGAAGTTGCTTTCTGCTCACCACGAGGTGTGGAAGCGCTGGTGTCAGCTGCACTGCTGCCCTTGCACAGAACCATAACTTCTGACTGGGGGCTCACCGTGGATGTTACGCCGCAGGCGCCGGGTGGCCCACAGTCAGAAGGTGGGCTCTGTTCAAAAGCAGCAGAGCACAGTGGCACGGCAGTACGCCCAGTCTTCGTCACTTTGTGGTGCACACTCGCACCACTGACAAGAGCAGGAGAAACTGGTTTCTTGTTACTGTGCCCTGTCCTATTTTCGACTCTAACCCCCTTTTCTACATGGGGATCACCACGAAGTGTGGAAGCGCTGGTGTCAGCTGCACTGCTGCCCTTGCACAGAACCACACCTTCTGACTGGGGGCTCACCGTGGATGTTACGCCGCAGGCGTCGGGTGGCCCACAGTCAGAAGGTGGGCTCTGCTCAAAAGCAGCAGAGCACAGTGGCACGGCAGTACGCCCAGTCTTCGTCACTTTGTAGTGCACACTCGCAGCACTGACAAGAACAGGAGAAACTGGTTTCTTCTTACTGTGCTCTTTCCTATTTTCGACTCTAACCTCCTTTTCCACACGGGGATCATCACGAGGTGTGGAAGCGCTGGTGTCAGTCGCACTGCTGCCCTTGCACAGAACCACAACTTCTGACTGGGGGCTCACCGTGGATGTTATGCCACAGGCGCCGGGTGGCCCACAGTCAGAAGGTGGGCTCTGCTCAAAAGCAGCAGAGCACAGTGGCACGGCAGTACGCCCAGTTTTCCTCACTTTGAGGTGCACACTCGCAGCACTGACAAGAACAGGAGAAACTGGTTTCTTGTTACTGTGCCCTTTCCTATTTTCGACTCTAACCTTCTTTTCTACACGGGGATCATCACGAGGTGTGGAAGCGCTGGTGTCAGCCGCACTGCTGCCCTTGCACATAACCACAACTTCTGACTGGGGGCTCACCGTGGATGTTACGCCGCAGGCGTCGGGTGGCCCACGGTCAGAAGGTGGGCTCTGCTCAAAAGCAGCACAGTGGCACGGCAGTACGCCCAGTTGTTGTCATACGGCTTGGCCACCAGAGCGTTTCCCACGCTTTTCCCCGTGGGAACGGTCAACCGTTTGGCTCTCAGCTGGTGCGTCTCGTAGTCTAATCCTTGTTCGGGGTATACCGCGGCCTTCTACGACCTTGCAGACGCCACCGCAGTTACAAAAGGGTCGACTGTCACCGGCGACGTTCTAAGGAGAGCCCCCCATTCTGCACTTCTCGGCTCCCTTTCATGCGCCGCCGTTCTCACGTTCAGTGGGGGAGTACGGCGCCCGTTAATTGCTGTGACGCGGTGTCGCCAAAAATGGCCGTCCGTGACATTGCCCCCCACTTTCACAATGTTACTCATAACATTTGTTCACACGGAGGGGAATTTTTCGACAACAAGAAACAAAACACCACCAATAAGGGAGACATGAGGACTGTCCCTCTCATACACAACATAAGTAGGCAGAGTGCATCAAAGTAACCACAAAAGAAAAAACAAACAATTGTTAGAGTACCAGCTTCAGTTACACGCAAAAATATCAATGCGCCATACAAGCAAGAAGAGGAAATAGCCGTGTACGGCAGCCATCAATACAGAATACACTGCACGAATGTATACTACGAAACAAAACGGAACAGGTGCGCTCCTTTACTGTAGGGCAATCTTGCAATGTGCATTACAACAAGTAAAACAACCAATGCACCAAGCAAAAAGAAAATAACTCAAAATACACTTCTTATACAATGAAATACGCACATACAAACAGAAACCAACCGACGAAAGGAAAAAAATAACATGCTCATAGACCGCAAGAACTATATCCGGCTCAAGTAATCGGCTCCCACGTTTTCGCTACCCTTAATATGCGTAATGGTGAACTGGTACTCTTGGAGTAGTAAACTCCATCGAAGTACTCGAGCGTTCAGCTGTTTTGCCCGTTGGATATAACTCAGAGGCTGGTGGTCTGTCTGGACACAAAAATGTACTCCATATAAGTACATGGAGAATTTCTGAATTCCCCATACCAACGCGAGACATTCGCGTTCGATGGTACTATAGGAAGCCTCCCGTGGAAGCAGCTTTCGGCTGGCATAAGCTGTGGGGTGGAGCTTGCCTTCCTGAACCTGCTTCAGCATGGCTCCGAGACTTGTGTCCGACGCGTCCGTTCGAAGTACGAATGGTTGGTGCAAATCTGGTAGCCGTAGTATCGGCTCCGTCGAGACATGTTGTTTGAGACTTCGAAAAGCCTCCTCGTGGGCTGCTGTCCATTTCACCGAGTTAGCTTCGCCCTTCCGATTTAAATCTGTAAGGGGAGCGCTGACTTCTGCGTAATTCGGGATATATTCCCGATAGTACCCGGTCAAACCGAGGAAGGCGCGCACTTGTCGCTTGGTTGAAGGACGTGGTGCAGCTTCGATCTTGTCGAGTGTTTTCCCCAGTGGTTGCAATCTGCCCCTGCCAACTCGGTGGCCCAAGAAGTCGATTTCTTCTACACCAAGTTCGCATTTACTGGGGCGCACTGTAAACCCGGCCCTCTGTATGCGCTCAAAAAGCAGTCCCAGAGACCTCAGGTGCTCTTCCCATGTCTCGGTGGCTACCAGTACATCATCGTAGTAGTGGTCCACACCGGGTATACCTTCTGCAACCTTCCGCATCAACTTAGCAAATACAGCAGGCGCTGTCTTGATGCCGAATGGCATGAAGCGGAACTGATATAGTCCCGATGTCGTCGAGAAGGCCGTCTTCGCTTTGGACTCTTCGGTCAGCGGGATCTTCCAATAGCCCTTCACGAAGTCGAGCTTCGAGAAATACTTCTTCTTTCCCACTGTAGCAAACACCGCGTCAGTTCTTGTCATAGGTTCGGAGTCGGCCACCAGAACGTTGTTCAGGCGTCGAAAATCGATACACAGTCGATTTGTCCCGTCGGGTTTCTTTACCAAAATGACTGGCGAATTATAAGGTGACTCTGATTTCTCAATGATGCCGAGCTTCTGCATCTCCCGCACCTCTTTCTCTACACCTTCCCGCGTTGCAAAGGGAAGAGGATATTGTTTCACGTGGACGGGGTTGCTCGTGGTGAGTTCGAGGTTGCAGTGGACCCAGTCAGTTTTGCCCGGGACATCCGAGAAAATACGAGCGTGTTCCCTGACAATTCTTTGCAGCTGTCCGATCTGCTGAGCGTCCAGTTTGTCGGAGAGCTTCGCGTCTTCTTCCCCTTCTTATTTCAGCCAGTGGGGGGTTGGAATATTCTCGTCCTCGCTCGGCTCCACAACACCAAATGTCACGTTGCACACCTTGGTGGAGGGGCTGTCCCTCTCCTCGTATCTTTTTAGTAAGTTGGCGTTGAAGATTTTTCTGCCGCCAGCCGTGTCTACGACGTAGTCAGCTTCACCTTTCTTTTCCCGGACTTCAAAAGGGCCCTTCCATTGCAGCAGCAGCTTGTTCGTGTCGGTGAGAAGTAAAATCAGTACCTTGTCTCCGGGGTTGAAACTCCGCTCCTTCGCCTTTCGATTGTACAGCTTCGTGTACCGTGCTCCGGCTTTTTCCAACTCCTCGTGTGCCAGGCGGCACGTTTCCTCCAAACGGTTCCGAATGTCGAAGACATGCTGGTACGTCGTCTTAGCTTCTTCAGTCAAGTCGGCGTTCGTCCATAGCT